GTTCATCCAGGGCGATTTGCCTGTTGTGTCGTTGTGACATCAGTCTCCGAAAGGACCGAGCCAAGTGGGAAGTTCGTGTAAAGTGCCTTTCCCAAGGACACAACGTCGGACCGAGCTGAGGCTCGAACCCCCGAACCCGCAATCTCCTGATTACGAGTCCGGTAGCCTAACCACTAGGCTACCAAACGACGAAGAATATCTCAGCTAACAAATGTTCAGGTTAAAACCCATCTTACGAGTCAACAATAATAAATAATATGGCATTGATGCAAATGGTCTTACTTTTAAAGAGCACAACAGCTACCAGCAGTATTGTCTACGTTAAGTAGGTTTTTATTGCTAGCCTTCAAAAGCGCTGTTCACTCTAGTTGTGAACAGACATCTATGGTGTAGCGGTCAGGCACTTCGCCGTGACACGCAGGAGACCTGAGTTCGATTCCCGACTGGGAAGAATTTTTATCAATTATCTTGATCTTTCCACTGAGATGCTGAATCCCTTTCAGGCCAGGTTGGTTCTGACAGGCAGGGTCGAAACTCGCCTCCTGAATTATCTAAACGAAGTGACTACTGGGACTCGAGTAGTCTGAAGGCCTCTCGTGGCTATTCGGTCTCAAACTTCAATGCGTGGCCGGATGTACTATCAGAATAATGACAATGTATTGTTTTGTCCGGATTTTATTTGAACACCATGTAAAGTAGGTCTATGCTGTTGGGAACGCTTTTCCTTTAGACAACTGTTACTTTGAATGACTGGTCTTTGTTTTCTTTGGAAGGGTTTTAACTTTTCTCTTTTTAATTTCTAACTGGACTTCCAATAGATCAGATGATTTTGTCTTTCTCGTCAAATAAAGCGGGTTTAGACTACCTATTGATTGTTATATCCTTTGTTGTTCTGAAACTTTGATTTTCATGTTGTTTTTTTCATTGCTTTCAGCTCAGATTGCCGTTTCCCTGTTTGACTTTGTTGTGAAGTAATTCAGATTTTGCAACTCTTGTTCACTTTTGACGTCACTAATACTTTTAATAATTTGTGTCGAAAATTTTGGCCAGATCGTAGAAACCGGGGAATGCCAAGGTCGAATTACCTGTCCGCTTCACTTCCGGTACACCCGTTGATTGCGCACGCGCATAGGAGTTTTGAGTCCGAATAGCCACGGGAGGTTATTCAGGCTCGAGTCCGAATAGCCGCTGCCGTCCCAGAAACTGTTCCTCATTTAGTAGATTGTCTGACTACAAAGTGGTGGAAGGACTGTGGCGTCGGTGGCCTAGTGGTTAGGCTCTCGGACTCGCAACCGTAAGGTCATGGGTTCGAATCCCGTCAGGGGCCCGACGTTGTGTCCTTGGGAAAGGCACTTTACACGAATTTTCCTCACTTCACCCAGGTGGGAATTGGTACCCGGCTATAGACAGCGAATGATCTTGTCAGTTTGTCAGTGTTTGAGCGCTTAATCAGCTGCTTGCACTGTATGCT